GACTCGTAGGCGATGGGTTGGAGACCTTCGCCGAAGTCTTGTAACAGTACTGCGCGCCAACGGCCAGATCGCTAGCGTCGGTGATGAGCTCGAACGGACGGTGAGGATGTGCAATCCGAAGAACCGGAGGTGTAGTCAGGAAAAGTTTGAGCTGTTCGAATGCAGCCTGCTGCTCTCCCCCCCACTCATAAAACTTGCCTTTCGTTAGAAGATCCGTGAGAGGTGACGTGACCCCCGCCATGTTCGGAATGAAACAATGAACGTAATTCACAAACCCCAGGAAACTCTGAAGTTCGCGTAGATTAGCCGGCGGCTTCCAGAGGAGTCGGAAGTATATGCGTAAGCACCACCCCGGCATCGACAGGCGCGCCTCGTCATGGTGGACCTTCCGGTTCCGCGCACGCTGGGGACTGACGAAGCATGTGAAGACGAAGATGCGCCAGTGCATGACTGCATGTATGTAATTTGACGTGCTGCGAATACTCCCTGCCCTCGTCATCTGCTCTAGCTCTTGTCGTGCTTCCTTGTTTGCTGACCGTACTTTTGCTTTGTCTATTTTTGTTTTTCATTATTTTCATTGGCAGACTGTGACGCGAAGGTCGAGAATTTCTGGGAGTTCGTTCGGCAGCTCCACACGCTCAACGACTACCCCGACGACCTGATCATCAACGCAGTTCAGACGCCACTATTCTTGGAGATGCCGCAGGAGACCACACTCGAAGTCCGAGGCTCGAGAACTGTCCATGTGCGCACGGCCGGCTACAAGAAGGAGAGGCTGACCGTCATGCTGGCCGTCACAGCAAGTGGCAAGAAACTGAAGCCGTACGTCATCTTCAAGCAGAAGACACTACCTCAGATCTGCGTCCCGCCCGGTGAGGATTTTGTGCCTGTTTTTTGTGCCGCCACCGCTAATATTTTTCGTAGCCGTCTTTCCAGGGCGAACTCTAATGTTTCCTACCTTGCGCTTGTGCAGGAACAGTGATCAAGGCCCATGAGAAAGGGTGGATGGACGAGACTCATGTCAAGGACTGGGTCACAACCATCCTGGTGCCGTTTCTCTGCTCGATACCCTCGCGGCGCGGTGGCCATCAGAAGGCTCTGGTGATCCGGGATTCGTACAAGGGACACCTGATGGAGGGAGTGTCCCAGTTGATGCGGCTCTTCAAGCTGTCCAGGGCTGTCATCCCCGGCGGCTGCTCGCCCATCGTGCAGCCTCTAGACGTGGCGGTAAACCGGTGCGTCAAGGCGCATGTCCGGAGGTCCTACAGCAAGTGGTTCGAAGAATTCGACTGCGAGTCCACAACCCCGGTTGGTGACTAACGTCTTTATTGTTTGTCTTTAAAGCATCTACCCGCGTTGTGATTTTTTTAACCATGCCTTGCATTTCTCCACCACTACTCCTAAAGCCCCCACCTACTGTCTCGTCGTTGTGTTTTCCCCTGCAGGGAATCTTTGCAAGCCGCCAGCCGAGCTCATGCTGCAGTGGATTGCCGACGCCTGGGCCGCGGTGCCAGCTGAACTCATCCGCCGCGCGTTCAAGATGTGCGGCATTTCCAATGCAACCAACGGCACGGAGGACGAAATGATCCTCGCCCACATGTGGGACGACACCGAGGTCGAAGTCATGGAGGACGTCCATGCCGAAATGGAAGAGAGCGGGGCTCTGAACCCATACTACGAGTCGGAATATGTGGAGCCGAGCGCCACGCCCAGCTCGGAGGAAGACAATCCCGATGTCGAGGCTGAGATTGAAGCTGCAGCAACTGCCTCATCATCCGGTGCAACGGGAGCTGCAACAGCTGCGCCAGCATCAGAGGCGTCTGGGGATCCAGGAGTCCGCACAGCAGCAGCAGCAACAACATCTACAGAAGCAGCGACAGAGGCGGAGATATCAGCTGCCGAAGGTGACGAAGGTCTAGAGATGCATGCGGCGGAGGTTCTGGTGGGCCTGGATGCGTCCCGCTGGACTGATGACTTTGACTGGGATGACATCGCTAGTGACGACGTAGATGCCGAGGTGTGGCATGCAGGAGAGGACCACGATGAGGACAACGACAGAGAGTAACTATTGACTTACCTGCTAGGACATGTAGCTAGCTGTTGGATTACCATTGTGTGCTGAGTGAATGGTAGTGGTAGCTAGCTTAGGTAGTCGAAAATGCACTAGAAATGCCTCGCCCAACGGATAGGCTTTAGACTAGTGTTAAATTTGTTGTCTAATGATTAAACATTGGCGCTAGACCAGTAAAATCCACAAATCCTCGATGGAGGGTGTTATATATAATTCGTACTAAAAAAAGTGGGTGCTCTAAAAAATCCATCGTATCATAAGCTATCCCCCGCATATGCCACCCATGGGTGACTATTTCAGCGGGCTCATATAAGAGGGAATACAATATGCGCAGAGAACCAACGGGGAACATAATAACGAAGCCGTTTATGTGTGGATCACACTATTCTTGCCAACCACATCCTCCTCAATGGACAACGCACTTGAAAGTTGGTGGCATGGTTTTATCTCGTGCTACAAGGCAACTATTGCCGCGCCTACATTTATATGCGTTGTCAATTTTGTACAACAGCTTTGTTATTGTACAATTTCGTTCAGGACCTGTGTGTGCATGCATGGAATGCGCGATCTGTTACAACACTAAGGGCGGGTCCAAATATTTCACACTTAATTCATTTCGCGAAAAGTAACCCGATTTTAACCTCGCGCTGATTTCGCGAGGACAGGTGCGCGAATTTGCCGTAACCCGGGACATTCGACGCATGTGAAGGTACATGTACCCCAGTCTAGATCCGTTTACGATTTGGGGACGGTAGGTGCACGTATGGGTGGACACGAGTGGCAATTTAGGGTTTCGCCAAGGCGAGCTTGACGAGAACAATGCGAATTGACGAAAACATCGCGTGGCGCACTGCAAATCGCAAATTCCAACCAGCCCAGCACGAAATATCTGTCTCGCAGCTTCAGCATTTGGTAACTGCGATTTGGGGCGTTTGAGGCTAACCGTTTTTTTGTGACGCACCCAGTTGGCACAGGTCTTTTTTTTTTTTTTTTTGGGTTTGCGGAGCAACCTATTGCGATCGACCGGACGCGATTTTTTTTTCAAGTTTGTGAAAAAACTATTATATTGAAGTAAAAGATGGAGATTAGTGACAAATATAGTATGAATCATTCATTTTAACTGTTTGAGATAGTCTAGGAACTAGGAAGGTAGGCGGCCATGGAATAGCGAGGAGGTTTTAGATCTAGGGGAGAGAACATGTCGAGAGAGAAGGAAGTCGACTAGAAGAGAATGAGGTACAAGAAGGGGGTTGTCCCCTCTGGAGTAGGATGCAGTTTGTAGCATAACTACCAAGCCTACAATTATATAAAATATAATTTTAACATTAACTACATGGATTCATTAGCTTGACTATGTAAATAGTTGGATGAAAGTGCCATACTAGAACTACGTATAATGCTATAGTTCAAGATAGACAAAAATGGAAAACAAATGTGTTCATGTTTTCCATCATTTCTTGTTTCGTGTTTTAAGAAAAAATGAAAGAAAAAAGATATCTCTTCCCAAACTATCTGAATGGGATTTTCTTATATATATATAATATAGTGTAATGTATTAATTACACTATATTATTGGTAAAATTTTTATGGAAAACAAAAATTGTAAATGTTTTCCATAATTGCATATCGCGTATTTTTGTCGACGACAAAAATAGGCAATCGCTTCCCCAGCTAAGTGGGGGAAATCGAAAGCCTAGAGGACAAGTCACACGACATATTTTGAGGCAATACATTTCGTGACAAAAAAAAAATGGATCGCACTCATCATCTCCAGTTCAAATGACTGCACTCAAGGTGGAAAGTCAAAGAACCTTACTTGAGACGATCAATACAACCCACTTTCTTGCATACACAAAATGCACCACCCGTCTATCAAACAAACAGTAGCAAAAAAGAAAAATGTCCCATCCCAACACAAAGCAAAAGAAAAAGAACATCGACACAACACATGGACTCTAAGATTCATCAGGAGAAAGGAATATCGCAAGAAGCATAAAACATTTAAAACATGTTATTCTAGATAAAACCACTGTTGGAAACCAGAGATCTCTTCCTGAAGCATTCCTGATGCACCAACACACGTGGAAGAAATAAGAAGAAAAAAGTAATACAAGTTAATTGAGAAAACAAGACAAGGTAGAATACGGGAAATGAAAACGAGGATTGAAGAAATGAACGACATATCAGACAGGGGTAAGAAAATGGGACGAGAGAGGTTGAGATGGAGAGAGGAGTGAGGGTGGGGGAGGGGGGGATGAGAAAACCGGGAAATGAGAGAATTGAGACAATGAGAGAATTAGAAGATGAGCGAGTGGTCAATTGGAAAATTGAGCCTATGAGAGAATCGGAAAAGTAGAGAATGAGAAAATGAGGGAGGGAGGGAACAATGGGAGAATGAGTCAATGAGGGATGAGACAATGAGAGAATGTGGGAGTGAATGGGAGAATGAGAGCGTAAAGAAACTAGAAAATGAGTGAGTGGGCTAATGTGTGAAAGGAGTAGGAAAATACAAGAATACGATATCAAGAGCATTATAGAATGATCTACGGGACAATGAGACAATGAAAAAATCAGAAAACCAGAGAATGAGAATATGGGAGAGTGGTCAATGGGAGGATTGAGAAAATGAGAGAATTGAAAAAACTAGAGAATGAAAGAATGAGGGAGGGATGGAACAATGGGAGAATCAGAAAACCAGATAATGAGAGAATGATAGAATGCGAGAATGAGAGTGAATAGGAGAATGAGAGAAAAAATAAACGAGAGAATGAGTGAGTGGGCTAATGTGTGAAAGGAGAAGTGGGAGAATGCGAGAATAAGAAAAAAATGAACACGAACACAAGTTTTAAGGTAGCGCACGGGAAATGGAAATGAGGATTGAAGAAACGAACGACGCATCAGATAGTGGTTCAACAAATGGAAAGAGAGAGAAAATGGTAAGAAAGAGAGAGGGAGAGAGAGAGAAAGAGAGAAAGAAATAAAGAGTGTATGTGTGTGTGTGTGTATGAGAGAGAGAGAGAGGGAGAGAGAGAGAGAGAGAGAGAGAGAGAGAGAGAGAGAGAGAGAGAGAGAGAGAGAGAGAAAGAGAGAGAGAAAGAGAGAGAGAGGTAGTGTGAGAGAGAAAGAGAACGAGAGAGAGCGAAGAGAAAGAGGGAGAGAACGATAGAGAGAGAGAGGGAGAAAGAGGTAGAGAGAGAGAGGTAGGGTGAGAGAGAGAGATAGAGAGAGAGGGGGGGGCAGAGAGAGAGAGGGAGAGAGGGGCAAAGAGAGAGAGAGAGAGGGAGAGAGAGAGGGGCAGAGATAGAAGTAGTGTGTAAGGGTGTGAGAGAGGAAAAGAGAGTGAGAGAGAGAGAGAGGTAGTGTGTGAGAGAGAGAGAGAGAACAAGAGAGAGAGAGAGAGAGAGAGAGAGAGAGAGAGAGAGAGAGAGAGAGAGAGAGAGAGAGAGAGAGAGAGAGAGAGGGGGGGGGGGAGGGGGGGCAGAGAGAGAGAGGGAGAGAGGTAGTGTGAGAGAAAGAGAACGAGATAGAGAGAGAGGAGAAAGAGAGAGAGAGCGAGAGAGAGAACGAGAGAGAGAGAGAGAGAGAGGGAGAGAGAGAGAGAGAGAGAGAGAGAGAGAGAGAGAGAGAGAGAGGGGGGAGAGGGGAGGGGGGAGGGGCAAAAAGAGAGAGGTAATGAGAGAGCGAGAGTGAGTTCCCGCCAATCCCCTAATCAACCCCGTCGCCCCCCCTCCCCGTCAATCCCGCCGTCAATGCCGCCCTCGCCAATCACCCGTCAATTCCGTCGCCAATCCCGTCACCATTCCCCCCGTCAATCCCGCCGCCATTCCCCTCCATCAATCCCGATATCGAAACCCCTTACTAGAAGAGATGGAAAAACGATTTTGAAAAGAGAAAAATGAACCCATGGAACTACTTGCCTTGGGTAGGAATCTAGGTGGCGAGGTGGCGTGGCTGAAACCGCAACGTGAGAAGCGAGCATAAGGAAGCGAAAAAAGAGGGCAGAACCCTAGGAGCATTTGATTCGTCGCAAATGTACCAGGATGGTACACAGAGATTCACAAATTTTGCAGTCTTGTTTAGCGTGGTTTTGTGCAGATGACCCGAGTTCGATTCTTGGAAGCACATTTTAACAACCCTTGGCTGTGTCAAACCTGAAAAAAAAAATTGAGATGCACTATTAAAACAATGTATACAAACGAAATATACTAACACTTCATTAACAACTGTAAAATAGCATCGCATCAAATGGTAATAGTCATAATCTTGATGTAAAATGCAAAATCACATATCTAAAATTACAAAAAAAAGGAAGATAGCCCTAAGACGATTTTGTCGACTCTTGTTTTTTCTCCACAATGTGGGACGCGGTTTTTGGGGAAAACGATTTTGGGATCGTTTTCAGTTTTTGTACTAGAGCTCGTGAAAACGTGTCCAAAAACCCCAATAACTATTTGGACCCTCCCTAAGTGTACATCGAGTCTATGGTAGCGTGTAGTACGACTGACCGGTAGACTTGTGTACTGCTCAGCTGCGTCAATGTGACAACAAAGCTTCCCTCGTAAGCAGTCTTCTGTTCACAGCAAAAGTGATAGACACATCATTTCGCAGTCGAGGTCGTGGTTTACTATGCTTGTGCGACGAGTTCTCATTTGACCCTCACTGCGATAATGGCAACTTCCCGCCAAGCAATGGAGAGAGAGAAGGAAAACGATGTGGTGCGTAAGCTGAGCTTTGATTTCCCTGGTGTCACTTTTAGATCCTTGGCCTTTGACATCTCCTGTGAAATTCTTTTGCAGGGAGCACAACCTAGCAGCGGCTCGCAGAATTGTGGAATGGGGGTAGTGTTTTCTGAGTTTAAGCACAAGCTGCAGATATTGATGTCGGAGGCAAAGAAGGCACAGGTATAGCTTCTGTTCAGGGGTGTCGACGTGCACCAGTTTTAGTGTGTAAACAGTTTGTCACAAACCAGTACTGCCGTTTTTATGTCTGCAAGAAGAGGAGGATGAGAGTCAGAACGAGATCGAAACACTACGTGCGGTGAGATAAAAAAGCGACGTTTACATGTGGTTCTCCAAAGTTTAAATCGTATCGACGCCCTTTCGTTCATTGTACTGACGCAGAGAGAACGTTTGTTAATCGAACAACCGGAGGAAGACAGGAAGCAAGTGATGCACATCATGGGGAGGGAAAGGATGAAAGCCGAGAAGGCGAAGGCAGAGGTACGTAAGGAATTGCAGGATGCACATGATGTTCCTTCTGAAGGTTGTGCGCTTTGATCAACTTTGTTACACAGGTCGACGAACTTCATAAAGCAACTAAATCGCTTGAATCCAAGATTCTTGTGCTGGAGAATAACCTTGTGTCTCTAGCCGAGTCCAACAAAAAGGCTATTGAGGAGCTTCAGGTATTTGACGTCCTTTAATTCGGCACGAGACTGAATGAAGGCACTATCGTATCACGGGGAAACCTTCCGAATCCACTTATTGCGTGTCTACCCTTACTTTATTGCTCCTTAACTGCCCTAATCAACAAATCTAGGTGGTCGCTGAAGTAAAGGATGCGGAATTTGCAAAAGCGAAACAAAAGCAAACGGTATGCTTCCCCCATTTGCGTACTCTTCTTTTGTTCTTGGCTTACTTAGCTCCACTGACTGCTTGCAGGAAATCAAGGATGAGCTCAACCTGGTCAACTCGGCGCATCTTAAAGCTCAACGGACTTGCATTGAGCATGAGAATCGATCCAATGAGCTGACGGAGCTTGCTGAGAGCTTGCGGCAACAAATTTCTGAACAAGAAATCCGCCTCGCTAAGGTGGGGGACTCAGATTAAACTACTGTTAAGCATTCGAGGCTCATTGGAAAGCGTGTCCAGGGTTTTTAAGGTGGTGCCTTTTTCTGACTTAAATCTGTTCACGTGGTCATGTGACCAGATGGATTCTGAATGCTCCAAGACAAAGGCCACTGTCAGCGACATGAATGATGTGATTGAGGAGACGCAACAGGAGTAAGTCTGGAGTGTCTGTTAAGAATTTTCGGTTGAATTGATTTGTTATAACCTTTCCTTTCCTATTTGTAGGCGGAAAGAAGAACACGACTGCTGGAATGTAACAACTGCGCAGCACTCAAAGGAGATGCAGTGCTTTAAGCAGAGACTGGAATTTTTTGAGAATGAGAAGGCTTCAAGACTACGAATGAATAACTCTGGGACTTCTTCTAGTGGCTTAACAGGTGGGCTAAAGGACAAGTTTCCACCTTTTTTTTATACAGCATTCGATTAATATTGGACATCTCGGTGGCAGGTGAATTTTCCATCGTCACAGGCTGTGATGATCTCTGGCAGCCTCTTGAGCTGGAAATATCTCAGCTGCAATCAAGGCTGAACGAGGTACACCTGAAATGGGCCTGTGTTGTAGCGTGGAGGCCATAATCATGCTTATGAAGATTCTTTCTGCCATTTTTCCGTTGGCTATGTAACCAGCTTCGTTACGTCCCAACGTTCATTTTGTAGATGGAATCAAAGTACGTGAATTGGCCGAGGATTCAGAAGGGATGTGACACTGGATCTCTTATGTGTATGTTTCTTTAATTACGTTGGAGATCTGGCATGTTGATTATCTGTATCATTACTAATATGGAAGGACAATATCAGGATTCTCTCATGCAAGCACTTCGTGTGAAGGCATTTCGTGCTTTCTTGACCAGCAAGTCAAGGTCGGTTTTGTTACTTGCCTGCGACTTGCCCAGTATGTTAGTTGGATTTCGGTTTCGAACTTTGTGCGTCTTGGTATACCGAGCTTCCGGTTTTGCTTGCAGAAAGTCAAGGATGAGCTCGACCTGGACAACTCAGTGCATCTGAAAGCTCAACAGGCTTGCATTGAGCATGAGAATCGATCCAAGGAGCTGATAAGGCTTGTGGAGGACTTGCGCCGACAAATTTCTGAACAAGAAGGCTGCCTTGCTGAGGTGGAGCTACTGTAAGGCATTCAAGGTTCTTTTTAGTTAGTTGTGTTTGGGGGTTTTTAAGGCGATGGCTTCTCTGAATCCCCTGTTCACGTGATCATGTGGCTGCTGCAGATGGATTCTGAATGTTCCAAGGCAAAGGCAACTATCACCAAGATGAATGACGTGGTTGAGAAGATGGAGCGGAAGTAAGCAGAACTATTGACGATTTCTTTCTTTTCGGCTACTGTAAGTCTAACCTTTGATTCTCCCACGTCTAAGCGGAAAATGGAACAGGACGGTTGGAATGCAACACCTGTGCAGTAATCAAAGGAGATGCAAAGCCTCAAACAGAGACAGGAACTTATTGAGAATGAAAAGGCGTCAAGAATACATATGATTAACTATGGGACTTCCCCTAGTGGCTTAACAGGTGGGTGAGAACCCGAGTTTCTCACAATTTCCTTTATACAATGTTGGCTTAACAAGTGCCATGTCTGTGGCAGGTCAAGTCTCCATCAGCACAGGTTGTGATGACCTCTGGCAGCCTCTTCAGCTGGAGATTTCTCAGCTGCAGTCGACGCTGTGCGAGGTACACCTGAAAACCGACTTGTGTTTAGAGATCTCATAACACATACTTAAGCCTTCTTTTCACTTTTTTTTTTGTTGTTGTTCTCTTCGTTACCTCAAAACGTGTATTTTGCAGGTGGATTCAAAGTACGGGAATTGGCAATGGATGCAGGAGGGATGTGACACTGAGTCTCTTTTGTGTAAGTTTCTCTTATTACTCTGGAGGTGTGGCCTGTCAATCAATTCTTATCACTTTCTTATATTGGGAACAATATCAGGCTTCTCTCATGCAAGCACTTCATGCGACGGCATTCCGTCCACTGTAGACCAGCAAGTCAAGGTTATTTTCATCAGTTGCATGCGACTTGCCCACTTATATTATTCAGATTTCGGTTCCAACCCTTGTGCTTCTTGGTTGACTTAGCTTCCTATTCTGCGTGCAGGAAATCAAGAATGAGCTCAACCTGGTCAACTCAGAGCATCGTAAAGCCCAGCAGGCATGCATTGGGCATGAGAATCGATTCAGGGAGCTGACGGAACACGTGGAGAGCTTGCGTCAACAGATTTCTGAACGAGAATGCCGTCTTGCTGAGGTGGGGACTCAGATTAAGCGACTGTTAAGCGATGGAAGCCCATTTCTGAAAATTGGGTCAGGGGTTTCTACGGCGGTGTCTTTATTGACTCATTGTGTGGCTGCTGCAGGTGGATTCTAAATACTCCAAGGCAAAGGCAATTATCAGCGAGATGAATGGCATGATTGGGAAGATGAAGTAGGAGTAATACTGGTATATTTGTTGAAGCCTTTTGGTCTACTTCCAGAACTCTAACCTTTTTCCTCCCATTTGTACGTGGAAGGTGGAACAGGACGAATGGAATGCAACAACTGGGCAATACTCGAAGGCGATGCAGTGCTTCAAACAGACTGGAACTTTTTGAGAATGAAAAGGCCTCAAGATTACAAATGATTCATTCCGAGTCTTCTCCTATTGGCTTAACAAGTGGGCTTTCGATCCATCAATTTCTTCACCATTTTCGTTTACAACGTTGAGTTAACATGGTCCATCTCTGTGGCAGTTCATGTTTCCATCGGCACTAATTGTGATGACCTCTGGCAGCCTCTTGAGCTGGAGATTTCCCAGCAACAGTTGACGTTGTGCGAGGTACAACTGAAGTGGGGTTTATATTTGGAAGGCTTTTGCTCTGCCGTCTTTGTAGATTACGGCCAACTTCATTTCATTTGATTGTGCAATATGCAGGTGGCGTCAAAGCACGTAAATTGGCCAAGGATCCAGGAGGGTTGTGACAATTATTCTCTAATCTGTACGTTTCTCTCATTACGTTGGACGTGGAGCATCTCATTCATTTGGTATCAGTTTCTAACATGAAACATTATCAGGTTTCTCGCATGCAAGCACTTTATGTGCAGGCACATGCGTCCTGTGTCAACGCGCAAGTTCAGTGCCTTATCAGTTACCTTTCTTCAGGGCCCCTGTACCATGCTGTAACAACGACTGAAGGGCTCCAGGAGGTTAGACTTGTAGTAGTAAAAGAGGAGTTGGGGGCCATCGCGGTATTCACTCATTGTTTTGCTGCAGGTTGATGGTGTGCATAAAGTGTTGCGCCGCAGTGGACTTGGGCTTGGAAATTTAGCTCTTCAAGGTAAATAGATTACTCTATCGTTCATTGTGTCACTTGCCTCCAGTGCCTTGACTAATATTACCTTTTCCTTTCAAGTTGTCCCTGCTAAAGGAAATGCATTCGATGAATTTTCTGGACTGGATGGTCGTCTCTGCTCAGGACTTCCCACTCCCCTTGCGCTTCAAGCTACACCAACCCAGGGCGCCCGGACTTTCGAAGAAAATGTCAGTCAGGTGGCCGTATCACAAGATTTAGACTCGCAGCAGACCATCGGCAGTGGAGGTATGCAGAGCAAGAGAAGGAGGCAGTTCAAGGTGCCTCTACCTCAAGCAAAATCAAGTCAAGGGACACACGTACAAGAACCTGATTCTCAGAAGGCTGAGCCAGCTGTGTCGATTTCAGTGTGCGCTGGACCTGGAAATGATGTGTTAAAGCTTGCTGATGGTAACATGCCCCCTATGAGTGTGCTCCCTGAGAAGGAATCGGCGCCCATTGTTCGACAAATCAAGCATTTGCAAGAGCCGGGTGTGACGCTGGGAAACATTGGCCTCATCCAATCCAATCCTTCCGTTGCCCTTTCCCCCGAGCAACTGCAAGCACCAACACAAGCCCATTTGCAAAAGTTTGCCAAAGATGACGGAGCGGCAGATACTGCTGAGGGTGTTACCGCTTTTGTTGGGGCGGAGGACAAGCAAGCGGGTATCGCTAATCAAGCTGTTCAAGATAGGGAGATGCAACGTGGTGGTCAACTCTGGCGTCTGCAATGCTGGGCCCGAAGTTACTGCAACTTCCTAGGGGGATGCGTCCGAGAGGACGAAACCTGTCATTGACTTGAAGCCTGGTGGTCTCTTGGGCAACAGTGTTTGTGCTGAGCTCGAGATAGTCCCTAGGCAGTCTCTGGGAATGCAGAATATTTCTTGCAGCTCATCAGCAGGCGGCTGCGGTTCATTTGCCAATATGGCATCTCCACAGAAGAAAGATGCAGCAGCTGTGGACCCAGCTGCCCAACGACTGACAAGTCTTCCTGAAAGCATCGTCTCGTTATTTGCAGAGGTAAATACCTTCGTTGTTCTGTCTGGCTGCCTTTTCTTTGGCTGCTTGATAATCCTGGGTTGATCTTTGCATGGAATTGCCTATGGCGGTGCCACAGGAACAAAGACATGTGATGTCGTTGACACCCCTGTGCTTACTCAGACACCTGTTGAGACTGCGCAGGACAACCCACAGGTTGTTAGTGGCTGCAGTAACTGCTCTGGTGCACCTGATGGGTCCACTGTAAGTTTTCTACCTTTCAATTCCAATGGTGCTTATATTGTTCGTTATCAAACCAAGCTGTCTCATATAACAGGTGAAGTGTGGCGATTGTTCATTTCGGAGCAATGAAAGTTGCCTACCACGGCCAGAAATGAAGTTATTGGATGAACCTGCAGATTGTGCTGAGTACAAAGAGCAACCAGCAAAGAAGAGGCAGAGAATGGTCCCAGTCATGAGCGATTGAAATCCAGAAAATCAGCATCCTCCCAGGGTTCAAGAGTACGGTACAATAAAAATGGAACCTCTGTATCGAGACATGGGGTCGGGTCCTTCAATAGTTAGCATGGTCCATCGGCCTGCCATTTTGGAGTTTCTGTATGAACTCAATGCACAACGTTGGTTTGTTATTATGCTACGATTTTCTTGATATTTTCTCATAAATCAACCTCCCTCCATGGTCTGACATTTTCTTTGGCCTTCCAGTACCAGTATATATGCCACGGGGGTTTACGTAGCCTTCATAATCTAGCAACTTCTCACATCGCAAGTAGAGCAGTGCCTTGGGCTCAGTCACAACCTCTGGCAGAGTCCTCAGCTGCCAACACCCATCCAGAACGAGCATCATTAGTTTGGCCAATCTCGCGAAGTTGGGAGGAAGCGGCAAATTAAGGTCGACTGCAGATTGACCTCCTTGAGGCATGCAAGTTGGGTGAGTGAAGCGGAGAGATGACTCAGCTCCTTGCAGTCAGACATGTTCAGCTGGCGCAACCTGGTCAAGGCACTGATGCCATTGGGAAGGTGAGTGAGGTTGACCGCATGAAGCTCCACGATGCCAACTGGTTGACAGATTCAGCTGACTACTCTGCAAGGATGTCAACTGCTGAAGCTCCACGATGCTTTCAGGCAACTCTGACAGTTCCTCTGCTTGGTGGACCAGCAGCGCTCTCTGCTGGTGCAGCGCTGAGCCCATACCCTCTGGAAGCCTGGGAATCTTCACAGCATTCGAAATCTTCAAGGTGCGCAGCTGCGGAAGAAAAGCCAAAGGAAACGGAAGCTCCGTGGCAACGCAGTCCAATGCCAGCTCCAAATGCCTTAAATCGACAAGCTCTTCGTCCCAAAAATCTGCCCCCCTCAACCTATGCATACGCATCGACGAATCGGAAGACCGCTATGCGTATACTTTGCCGACAGCCGCATAGTGCAAACGTGTTCATCAGTGAACAATATACGTAGTCCCCGAAGCCTAAATGAATACGTAGCATATGCTAAGTGGCAGCATATTACCTTGCCTTTGTAAGCGCATACTACGCGCCTCGCATTTGCAAACCACAGGCAGCCTAAGTGGAACCAATGTCCGAGAGCCTTAGCATACACTATGCATTTGCATGGTTCAGTTCCGTTAAATCTTCATTGATGCTATGCAGATGCTATGCATATTCAGACCAAAAACACAGGTGCGTGCTGTTCAACAGGTTTGATGGTCAGGTTTAATAAACTCAATTCCAAAGTTATGCTTTCAAATACATTAGAAATCCCAAGCATAGAAACTCTAGGTCAACAACATTGGTTAGCTAGTTTACGCAAGGCTTCTGATTTGCATTGCCAACGGTCCGTCGAGAAACCCACTTGCGAGAAGACATATCAGGTGCCTTTCCTGCAAATTCAAGGCAGACCATGAAACGTGATTAGCAGGAGAAGCGGCTGGTGGCAACGCCATGGAATTTCATCGTCGGTTCATCGTCCACAAATGGCTCACAAATTTTCGCATGACGCATTGATAGAGGAACCAGCATCCATGTTGTCATGACAGGTCCATTCTGCCGGCGGTTCACTATCGTCGACAGTACTGAATCACTTCCGACGTAACGAATCTGCAGCAAGCGCACAAGAAAAAAAAAGGAGGTTGTTAGTACGCTGATGCTCCGCAACTAATCCGTGATGCTTTACGCCCCTACAAACACGGCGACAACACGCACATCACACAGCACGGCACTCGATGAAGACGGATCTAGGAGGAGATAGGAGATCTGCAAGAGGGACAGCTGGTTGTGTCGAGATACCTCAGGTGGAAATGAATCTAGTCGAGGTAGAACTTCCTGTAGTTATCTTGCGTGGCTTGAGGATAAGGGTTTGTTCGGGTGGTTGGGGATTGGCATGAAGTTGGCTTGTCGCTGTGCTATTGGTTGAAAGTTGTGTCCTCGTCAGAGAGTTTTGCTATGTAAAGTTGAGTCTGGTACACTGCTGACTTTTCTGTA